GCGGCAGCGGCCGCGGCCGCAGCCACGGCCTTGGCCAATCACGAGAACGAGAACTCCCATAACTCGCCCGAATTGAATCACCCGAACGCACAGCAGGTAGGACACATGTCACTGGCTGCGCCACCGTCCATGAGTCCCATGACCTCGATATCCGGTCTGACCTCCATGCCCAGTGTCGGCAGTATGACCTCCATGGCCGGTATGGTTAGTATGGCTAATATGGCAAGCATGGCCAGTATGGCCAACATGGCCAACATGAATTCAATGGCTAATTACACTATGGCCAACATGGCCAACCTGAACGTATTGAATACACTGGGCATGGGACCTAGTCTGTCCATGGATCCTGCAGCCCTGGCCAAGGAGGTGGCCCAGAAGAATTACGCCAAGGCGATCAAACTGTCCCAGGCATCCCAGTCGTACGGGATCAATCCTCTGACCGCGCTAAATTACACCGGAGTGGCCTTGAACAAGCATTCTCTCGCGATGAACTCTCAGGCGTCCGCGATGCAGGGCACGGCCACCCCTAGACAGGTGATACCAGGCCTACCCGGCATACACGGTAGTCTGACCTCACCACTACCAGCTGGTATCCTGGCCTATCCCAGACCTCCTCCAACAGCTCCCATCAATCCTTACTCCCTGATACGACCTCAGATGCTCCCTGCGTCCTACATGCAAAGCTCTATTCATGGCGTCCCAGGTGCCAGCATGCAGGCCAATCCCTACGCGGTTCAAAATCCTTACGCCATGTTACCCGGTGTCGCTGGTGTTCCCGGCATGGCCACCGCTGTACCCGGTGTACCGCAAATGCAGAACGCGAATCCGGCCACGATAGCCGCGCAACCTCAGGTCGCCATACCGGTTAGCAGCGGGGTGGTTATGCAGCCGTATAAGAAAATGAAAACTACGTAAATTCTTATATCGTACCGTTATTGTGCTTCCCGGAGTCTATCGATCGGCCAATCGGATTCGACGTTGATCCTTGCAGTTTCTTTTTTATATGGATACAAAAAAGAAAGGACCTTTATTTATCTCTCTTTCTCTTACACGATATACTTCAATTGTCGCGTTTAATCTTGCCGTGTCTCCTACCGAATTAATGGACTTTGTTAAGCGAGTCAAGATCACTTGGTTTCGATCATACGGGTCGAGGAGGTGACTTCGTAACGTGAGGATCCAGTGACATTTGACACTTTCGTATATTAGCCTCGAACAGGGTAGCGTGTTAAAGAGATTACAATGAGAAAATATATATATATATATATATGTACATACTGCAAGGATCAATGGAGAATCCATACAGCGAACAGCACCCTGCTGATAACGATTGGCGCGTGGTGAAAATCACGGCAGAAAAAAAGAATTAGTCTAGCGTAATCGAGTGACGCTGAGAGGAAGATATATTAAAGGAAACGAAAAAAGAAAAAAAGGATAAGCAAAAAAGTTCCAGAAATAGTTTCATTTTCTAGTCAGACATTGTCGGTGAACAGTGCCTTATTGTCCCGATCCCACTGATAAATAATAATAATAATAAATATATATATATATACCGTTCCGAGGCACTCTGACGGCTGACCGTGCTAGCAACGTGAATTCCGTTTTTTTTTCTTTTTTTTTTTAATGCTCGTCCTATCTCTTACTATCGTTTGTTCCATTTGTTTCCTCTTACGAGTCTCTGACGTTTGTTCCTCGTGCTCGTTTCTTGTTAACGATATCTTCTTGTAGTGGCCGGACATTATTATTATCATTGTCTCTATTTATATTAATTATTTCCCAGTGAGCCACGCACCTTGTTACGTGTTTTTACGATAAATCTTTATTATTATTATCAAAGCATTTTATAACGCGTACTCGTTAACGAAACCACTGGAGGCTCATGGTTTTTATAATAATAATCGTTTGACTGTAAATTAACAATGGAATAGTGCAAGGATCATATTTATAGACTCGAGTGAGAGTGATTTTTTGAGAGAGAAAAAGAGAGTGTACGAAAAGAAAAATTAAAAAAAAAAAAAAAGCGAAGAATCGAATCGGACTTCCTCGAGTCTGATCGTGTATGTCGTCTGTTATGTAACTGCGTGATTTTATGCGTGGCTAACATTTTTTTTTGGGACTCTTCGAAAGGGCCCGATTTGATAACTTTTTAATTCCAGTTGTTTATATTTCTTGATTTTGTCCATTGTATCCTCCAGTGGTCTCTACCATACCGACACTTTGTATATCGCGTGATAAAAATTTGTATTATCATCGACGTATCCCCTAGTATCTTTTTTTTTTTCTTATCGTTACTACTTTTTATCGGTTATGTAAATCAGTAAAATGTAATTATTATTATTCACGTTCACGTTTATTCATAGTCGTGTCTCTATAGGCCCCTATGCCTCGTACGAGGTTGGTCCTGATTGAAGAAAAAGAAAAGAAAAAGAAAAAAAAGAAAAGGAACCATTTCCACTGTTAATATTTTTCAATCATTGTGACGATTAATCATCGACTAATGTAGAAATGGAATAAAAGTTTCCTGTTTTTTTGAAATATATTTTTTATTTTTATCTTTTTTATTTTCTTGTTCAACCACGCAACTTATGTTTCCTAGGCACATCCTTGCCGGATTTGATTGTCAAGAAAAATGAATTTTCTCACTTTAGCTCCCTTATCGGTTTCTTTTGTAGAATTTTTATTTTATTATACTTATCTTGATTCTTGACCATCTCGCTTCGCGGAACTGTCCAAATGGTTCCTGATGTTAATGCATAGGTTTAATTGTTCGTTTTATCGTGTTAATTTAGGCTAGCCACCTCCTATATATTTTGAATATCCATCTCCTACTACGTTTCCAAAGAAAATTTACGAGTCCACCCCCCGAACCTGCTGCGAAAAAAATTGTTATCCAAAATAATCCAAATTGTTCCTGATCATCCTGGATTCAATTCGGGTGAGTTCTCACGTGTGCGCACGATGAATTATTGTCAAATATATATGCGTATGGGACGTTCGAGTTTTTTTTTCAATTTTTTTTTCTAATGCATTTACTCAAGAAAACACAAAAAAAAACACGCACACGTTAGACAATACGTTGACGCACACACGTATTATAAATATATAACATACGTATGAACACGTCCACCTACGTATATTAGGTGCGAGCACAGGCGTCGCACTGCGAAACGTCGCAGCCAAATGCATTTATAACAAGGAAGACGACAAGAAAAAGAAATACAATGTCGAAGATAAGGAAAACTATGAGGAGAAAGGATTGTTGTGACGGTGAAGAAACTTTTATTTTCGGCAAGAGAAATAAAATGAAAAATTACGATAAGAGCTGCAAAAATGGTGTCTGTGCATCTTTACATGACGATACGTACCACATACTCACTCAACACACAAGTGCACGCACAATTACAGTCACTTTACATACATGCGCACGTAAAGAAAAATGCGTCAGGAAAAAAATAAGAGATTGTCGGGAATTAATGTCACGTGATTTTTGTGAATTTCATATATTTTTTTTTTTTTAAATCACGGATTTTTCAGTGAGGCGATTTTACAGTCAAGGCGGGTTGGAGGGTTTTTTCGAAGGGAAATCGCATTTGGGTAGGATCGATGATAAATCAATATATTGTCTGTCGTTAACGGGTATATGTATACATTTATATATCTGATTATATTTGCCAAGTGATTTGATTTTTCTTATAGCTGGCACCTACGTGATTGTATAATGTAGGCAGTTACGTATATATATATATACAAGTAGGATTGATATGTAATTATTATATAGCGGTACATAAACATATGTATATAGAAGTATACATATACATAGTGTCCCGTATAACGTACGATTTTAATGAATCGTCGACACGTTGAACATGTCGGTGTAGATTTTACTGTAGAAAAAGATTTTAGAGGACACTATAGATCGATAGATTAGATGTACGACGGTCTAAAAAGAGAAAAAAAAAAGAAATAGGAGAAAAAAATTACCGATTACGAAAACGAAAGATATCGAGGGTTCGGAGGAAAAAAAAACATGGCGACGAAATCTGTGCGTGCAGAAAGTGTGTGCAACTCTGCGTTTGCGTAACGACGATTTTGTGGATAACGAAAAAAAAAATCAGTGTTTTCACGTTACGAAAATCAAGTTGGACAGTTTTTTTTTTTCGAAATATTAAACGCACATTAAAACTATCGTCGAATAGTATGCACGCATGACGCCGTCTTTCTCCATGAGTCTACTCGATCCTTCACGAGATTAAAAATAGTTCTATCGAGGACAATTATTTTTGTGAAAAAAAGAGTCAAAATTTAAAAAAAATCGCACTCTGCGTCTGCGGTACGTAAACGAATGAAAAAGGGCATGAGTCATTAGTCTGTCGCGATTTTGCAAAAATAAGAAAAGCGGGACTGTTGGTTAAAGCTCCGTGCACAACA